AACTCATACTCTAAAGGCTTAGAGTTTTAAAGAACCAGAAAAGAACATTCACACTCAGGCAGAATATAATCTGATCATCTTCCCACCTTGTCAAAAGCTAGAGGAGGGAGAATTCAACTACAGCTGGGAGTGGAGCTGCCAACTGTATTTTTTAAAAATGGACACAATTTTGACTTCAGCCCTTTGGATCCCAGAGATAAATTTTAGGAGGAGAAGGTCAAGTCTGAATATTTTACCCCCTGTTCCACCCAGAGTCAGCCAAAGCTGGAGATCTGTCAGTTTAAAAAATAAGTAAAAGATTAGAGGTTACATTTTTCCCCCTTTTTGCAATTAATTCCTGTGATGGGCTGCTCTGGCAACAATGTAAATACTTGTAGCTTTCAGAGCATGCCAGGTAGCTCATCTCTTCTGGTGGGCTGGTACTTATCTGCAAGGGTAGCCTTGCACTTAACATAGGCCTTTGTTTTCCCTTTCTGTGGCCACAGAACTTCCTAGGAAATGACAGTGGGGAAAATGAGAGCTATGGCTCTGGGGAGGCCGCTGATTTCATGGGGATGGGGTTGGAGCCAGGAGAAAATGAGATCATGAGATGAGCTCAGGAAAGCACTAGCGAAAAATGAGGTCTGAGCAAATGAATTAGCTTCTGCCCTACAATTATTTTTTAAAGTTTCCCATATGCCATCTTATTCAAACAGTGGACATGTGAAGTACATAACAGGGAAACTAAGACCCACGAAGAAGGGAAGTGACTTGCCCAGATCATCTGCTTGAATCCTTTATTTACAACAATCCTACTGGCAATGCTTGTTACATAGAGCACTTGACAAGCACTGAGTTCAATGAAATCCTTGCAACTAACCTGTGATCGAAGTTCATTTATGATCTCTACTGTTCAGATGAGGAAGTGGGGACTCCAAGTGGTCAAGTGACTAGTTCAAGGTCACATAGCCAGGGAGGGGCACAGACAAGACTGGAATCCAGGTCTGCCAGAGTCCAGAGCCTATGCTCTCATCACTTTCTGGGCTGTAGTGCCCAGAAAGTCCAAGTGATCTTCAGAGACCCTCTGTTCACTCAGTTCCAATGCACCAGGACCTAGCTTTGGTGAAGAGGCTGGGAGCCCCCTTTCTCCCATCGTTTGGCACTGCTCTGAGGGTCAGCCTGGCAGCTCTCATGCTGGGTTAACAAGGAGATCTTATTGCATCTAAAGGCCTCTTGCCAACTTGGTCCAGGATTTAATAATTGGCAAGTTTAGAGAAGGTGGGTGAGGGACAAGAGGGGGAAAAGGTGAAAACCAAACTCTGGTTTCTGTCCTCAACATTGTCTAAATTGGGTAGTCAGCTGGGTTGGTGGTTAAAAATCTACATGGATATTTTATTGGGGGGTGTTTTTTATTCGGAGGTTGGAGTAAGACTCTCAAGGGCATGCCTTTTCTTGGGGAGGGGAGCAGAAGATGGGGGGGTGTGCATCTCTGAAGATTTGCAAGAGTGAGAGACACACAGAGAGAAAGAGAGCTGAAAAAGAGAAAGAGAAGCAGAGGGAGAGTTGGGGAGGCAGAGAGAGCAGGGGAGAGGCTGTGTCCAAGGTTCCCCTGGGCTGTTTCCAGAATTCCACAGCTCTGATGCTCAGGTACTCAGAAAGTGACCATGCTGTGTTGCTGGACAAAAGACACCTGTGACTGGGCTCAGGGTCTGAGAGGGGATGGGGGAAGCAGCTAGTGCTGCCTGGGAGGCAGAAGCATAGTGTTCCAGGTCAGACAACTGGCCAAGTCTTTCTTCCAAAGTCTGTCAGGCTACATCTCCTAACGGGCACTTCTGGATTGGTACCCAGTCAGAATGCATACAGTCATCACAGCAGCTGCCATTTCGAGTGCCGATTACATACCAAGTATGCACAGTCCTGTGAAGATGGTGCTGTTATTGCCCTCTCCCCTCATTTAAAACTGACCACAATCCATATTTGGATACGTCACTAAAATGAGTAAGAACTCAAAATGCTAGTGCACATTCAGCAGTACTTCAAATGCCTGGGTTTGGGCTTATTTGGGAGCGCAGGAGGCAGTCTCATTCCGAGGCAGAAGGATGGGAATACTTCGCCTGCTTAAGCTTCCTTCCAACATGGCTGCCTGGAGGCAGGGAGCTGAGTTACTACCTCTGGGGAAAGAGGGGCTGGCCAGTGAGGTCAGGAAATTTGGGCTGCTCTCTCCAAATATCCCACCCATGTTCTGACCTCCTGCCATCTGTCTGTGCCACCTCCCTTGTGCCCTTGTGCCTAAGTGGTCACTTTCTGCCCTGGCATCCCAGCTGTGGGATCCCTTCTGCCCTCCTGGATGATAGCTGGGACAGGAACACTGGCTTTTAAATCACAATGCATTTGGAGAACAACCACAGAACAGCTCAACCCAAGAAACCAAAACCAAAGAGCACAGAAACAAGACAGAACCAAAGACGAGTCACTTTGGGGGAGAAGAGGACCAGGTGAAGGGAATGGGAGGGGAAAAAAGAACCACTTGATTTTTCCCCCCAAAACGAAACAAAACCAAAGAAAAAAAGAAAAAAGAAAAAATAAATAAAAAGGAAAAAAGAAAACCAAAAGAGAAAAACGGAACGGAAGACGAGAAACACTCCAACAGAAGGCGTTGGGAATTCACCAAACCAAACCGACAAGAGAAGCATGCAGAGAAATTTTTACATTCTCCCAGCATGCATCAGGCCCAAGTTACCATGACGACGAGGAGTGCAAAAAACTTAGCAACAACATTACCAACGGATGCAGAGGCGACCATAATGCAAGCATCGCATGTGTGCGGCCGGCCCTAGGCCGGGCTGGGCGCGGCTGAGATTTTCGTGTCTTTCTGGGTTTTGCTCTCGCTTGGCGGTTTTTTTTTGTTTAGTTTGCTTTGTGCTTATGATTCATATTCCATCTTTTAAAATTGTTGTTCATTTTTCTATTTTTCTCGTGTGCGTGTCAGCGTGTGTCCGTGTGGTGTCTACATGTGTTTTGTGTGTGTGCGTGTCATTTTCAGAATGTAAAAATGTGGGTAAAGAAAGTAAAAAAGAAAAAAACACACCAACCTTCTCGAAGCTCTGAGGGATGTAAAGGGGGTTTGATGCGGAACACAATGACATGGGAAGAAGAGAAAAAATAGGGGAGATACAGAGAGTAAAAAGAGGACTTCCCAAGGCTAAAAGCTGCAATAGTTTGTTGTTTTTTTTTTTTCTTTAAACCAAAAAAAAAAATTAAAATTAAAAAATAAAAAGAACAGCAATGACCTTTTTGTCTTTTTTCCACTCTGCCCTTGACATATAAGATCTACATTTGCCTTTCTCCATTCTTTTCTAAGCTTGATTCTGGAGCATCTAAGACCCAGGCAAAGATGGGGAAGTGGAACCTCACCCCCTCGACTGCCCCCAAGAGGATGGAGGCTCATGCTGGGGACCCCACCTCTGGGCGATGAGGACACAGAAGCCCCCCTCCCTTCTTGCACCCTCACTAAAGGCCCCACCCAGCTCCCTGCCCCATACCCGCTGTCCACACTCTTTTGAGCCCTGCTGGATTTACAAACCCCCATCCCAGGTGTTGGCAGAGAAATAAGCAGGTTAGGTGAAGACCAGTCAGTTGGAGTCACGAACGCGTTACAACTCACCAGAGGTGCCGTGACAGCGGATCAGACGTGCCCCTACCCACCACCCGCCCACACACCCACATTCCCATCCCCTCCCCCTCCATGCGGCCTCCTCCTCACAGACAAAATGCAAAACCCCAGGTCCAGGACCAAGGAGTCACTTCAGGGCCAGCAGGTGCTGTGGATGGTGAGGACGAAGGTGGTGAGTGAGGGTCTGTGGGCGGGGGATGAGCCACACGGCCTCCTGGATGGAGAATGACTAGGGCTTGGCACTTCGCATGGGGGAAACTGAGGCCCAGAGAAGGATGTGATCGAGTCAATTATACAGCGCTAACTGGGGCAGCCCTGGGGATTGAATGGGGCCCTGGCATCCTGGCAGAAGCTGTTTCTACTACAAATCTGATCAGAAACAGCTACTAGGAGGTGAAAAAGGGAGGAGGAGGAGGAGGAGGAGGAGGAGGAGGAAGACTACAACTTCTGAAAAGACCCAAGAGCCAACACACGAGATAAGAGGAGGCCAACGGAGGAATCTGGGGGCAAGGGAGCCCCCTGGCACCTCTGAGGCAGCACCAAGGGACCCACAAGGAAGGAAGCTTCCTTGGGGCCGGGGAGTGGGGAGGTGCTGGGGCGAGGCCCCCACGCTGCTGGGCATGACTGAGTGGGAATTGGAAACCAAGAGCAACAAGCTTCGCTGGGTGCCGTGCCTGCCCCAGCTTGGTGCAACTACCAAGCCCCCTGGGTGCCTGTGCCCGCTGTGGCCCCAGCCTCCCAACGGCCTGGACTGTCCTTCTCCGAGAGTCATTAGGAAGAGACAGAAGGCACCGGGCTCTGGACCAGCCGGTGGGGGGCGGGGGGGCAGCCTCGAAGACCCCTCCCCAACTTCTAGATTGAGGGCCCTGGATTGGGGGGGCAGTGAAGCGGGGAGCTACGAGGCCACAAAGTTAGGAGAAGCAAAGCCAGCACACAGCACGGGAAGGCACGACACACCACAGAAGCCAACTCGGGTGGGCAGGCGGGTGGGGAGGGGTGGGGCAGAGGCCTGCAGGCTCCCCTGGCCCTGTAGGCCCAAGACTCACCCCCTCACCCTGCCCCACGCCTTCCTACCCCACCATCACTGCCTCCCCAGAGCCCTGCTGCCCACGGGGCATCTGTTGCAAGGCACGAGGAAGGGAATTTAAGCTGCCCCCATTCTACACGTAAGGAAACTGAGGCCCAGAGAGGGACGCCGCGCCTCGGCCAAGGTCCCACCGCGACCGGGGAGGGGCCTTCCTGCTTGGGTGTGCAGGGGACGGGGGAGCCCGGAGGCGGTGAGCCCGAGGAGGGAGGGGGATGGGACGGGGCGGGTCCCTGCCTTCGACCTGGACACGGCGTTCCCTACCTCGCACGTAGAGGTTGGCAGGTGAGGAGTAGCGCACGCCGGCGCTGTTGGTGGCCACACACTCGTATTTGCCCTGGTCGGTTTCCTCACTGCTTTCAATCTGCAGGGCTCCTGTGGGAAGAGGGGAGAAAGCTTGGTCCGTTAGAGGGGGGCCCAGGAGTGAGCAGGGGAAAGCTGTCCCACCAGAGTGTTGTCCGGCCTGTCTCCTGTTCTGGCTGGGCCAGAGAGGCAGCTAAGAGGTGAGAAGCCCCAGCTCGGCCAGGCCTTGTATGACCTCCACCCCCACATCTAGCCCCACCAGGGCCCGGACACACCAGATTCCCCAGCAAATTCTCCACTCGCAGTGGAAAAGCAGCTGGTCATGAGGCTGCTGCGTCATGACTGCCAAGCTGAATTACAAAGCTGGAGAAAAGTGTGGTTGAGAAAGCACTAAATGATGCTCTCCCGGCCAGAAGGAAAGAGTGGGTTGGCATTCACAACTCATAACCATCATTTGATAGATCCAGGGACCTAAGGGGGCCCACCACAAATCATGTGAACATTCAGGGAGCCGGTGGTTGCTCTGTTTCATTAAGTGCCCATGAGTAAATGAACATGGGTCTGGGTTCCTCAATTGTGTTTGGAATCCTAGTCCTCAAAGTCCTCGACGCCCGTAAGTAAATGGAGACAGGGTTGTACTTCTTCAGGCGTGTTTGAAATTTCAGGATTAGGTTATACCCTGAGGTAGCTAAAGTAAAAAACGTTGAGGCTGGTGTGTATCAGGTATGTTTGAAATCAAAGCCATGGATCTGGATCCAAGCCTTCTGGCCTGAAGTTGATTGAAAAGAAGTCAGAATTTCCCCAAGTATTTTGAGTCGTCGAAGTAAAAGTCTGAATTTGCCTGCTTGTATTTAAAATCACAGGCCTGAAGTCAATATCCTGGTGCTCATGAGTAATTGAATGGACTTCGTCGAGTGTGTTTAAAATTATGGTCCTAGACCCAATTCTATGATGCTCATAGGTACACAAGGATTAGATTAAATTTTCAAACGTGTTTGAAATCAGGGGTCTGATTGAAAGCCTCTTATACTCACAAGTAAAGTTGAGGCTAAAATGCTCCAAGCCTGGATCAAAGAATTTGTTGGTCATGAGTAAATACAGATATAAAGAAGACGGCAATTTTTCAAATCACAGGCATATTTAAAATTTAAATATCACAGGCAAAAATCCAAGGTCTTGGTGTTCATGAGTAGATGAAAATAGAACTGATTTCCCCTCAATACATTTGAAATCACAGGCCCAAATCAAAGACTTCACTTCCAATGAACATATAAAAATGAATGAACCTTCTCAAGAATATCTGAAATCACAGGCCTTGATCAAACACTACTGTGCCCATGAGTAAATGAAAACGAGGCCAAGATTTCCCTAAAGATATCTGAAACCACATGCCTGAAACAAGTCGCTCATTTTCACAAGTAAATGAAGCTGAGTATGTCTTAAATTACAGGCCTTGATAAAAACTTGAGTGCCCAAAAATAAAAACTAAGGCAAAAGTTTCCCCACGTATGTTTGTAATCACAGGCCTGGATCAAAGTCCTTATTCTCATAAGTAAATAAAACTTAGTGTAACATATCTAAGTATGTTTGAATCACAGGCCTGGACCCAAGTGCCTGTCGACCATGAGTAAATGAAGATGAGTGAATATCCGCAAATGTGTTTGAATCACAGGCTTCAATCAGAGCCTACGGCACCAAGGATCCAAACATCCAGACTGAGTTTTCCAGTCTTGTTTGTGATTATCCCACAGAAATGACATGCACCCACAGATGGGGGGATTCTCTCTGGAGGTCATGGATAAAGACTCTGCCCCCATAGAACACTGCCTATTCTTCTTTGACCTCGAGGTTCTGGGAAGCAGGCAGTATCTCCATCACTAAGGAGGCCCAGAGAGGGTCAGGAGACTGCTCTAGGTCACACAGCATTTGTAGCAAAGGTAGGGCTGGACACTGATTCTTCCCCAGGGTTCCCACTCAGGCCTTCTCTTGGCTCTTCTCTGAGGCAGCAGTTGGGTGGGGGATAACGGATGGAGCAGACTGACCTGAGAGCGCGTGTCTCTATGTGTCCTTGGGTTAGACCCTCCAGATCAGAAAGAACTGTGGAGCTGGAAGGCCCACTTTGCTTTTTTTTTTTTTTTTTTCTTTTTTTGAGACAGAGTCTCTCTCTGTCACCCAGGCTGGAGTGCAATGGCGTGATCCTGGTGGCTCACTGCAACCTCTGCTTCCTGGGTTCAAGCGATTCTCCTGCCTCAGCCTCCCGAGTAGCTGGGATTACAGGCGCCCACCACCACGCCCAGCTAATTTTCGTGTTTTTTGTAGAGATAGGGTTTGACCATGCTGCCCAGGCTGGTCTTGAATTTCTGACCTCAGATGATTCACCTGCCTCGGCCTCCCAGTGTTGGGATTACAGGCATGAGCCACTGCGCCCGGCCTGCACTGCTCATTTCAGAGGTGGCTAAACAACATGGGGCTCCCAGCACTCTGGGGGTCTTGCCAGGTAGGGTCCTTCCCAGAGGGGGAGAGAGCCCCCTGGCCTTCCACAGTCAGGTGACCTGAGGAGTCACCTCGGCCACATTCAGGCCCCCCGGCCACAGACACAGACACAGACGCAGAGACCAGACTAACACTGGGTGGAACGAGGGTGGTGGCAGGGTGGACACGCATGGAAGCGGGCCTGGGGACAGCCCCAGTGGAGCCTGAGGGGCTGAGTGGGCAGCGAGAGAGAGCGTGAGTGGCTGGGTGAGTGAGGAGCCTCTTACCTCGAATCGGAGTGCTTTCTGTAAGGGAAGCAGAGAGAACCAGGTGAATGTCACAAGGCGGTCGTGGGGGGCCAGGGGGCCCCAGGGAAGCTGGGCCGGGGCCATAAGCCAGGCCTCTGCACTCTGCCCCGGGGAGGGGATCGAGCCAGCCCTGGGCATATGGACCCTGCAGGCTTTGCTGATGAAGCTGGAAGAGGCCTCCTAAGAGCAGGGTGAGGTCTGAGGGCTTGTCAAAGCAGGAGGGCTTCCTGTAGGAGGCGGGAATCTCTGGGGGTGGAGGGATGGAGTCTAGAAGACTCTCTGGACGGGCTGAGGGGCGTCTGTATGCCCAGGGGAGGTCTGTCAGCCTGGGCCTTTGGTGGCCTTCCCTCTGGGCCAAGGGAGGGAGGTTCATGACCCCCGCCTTCCTTCTTTCCTTCTTAGGGAGCCCAGCAAGGG